GGGGGGGGGATGCTGTGGAAGTCTATTGTGGTCCCTCAACCGTGTGTGAGAGCATCAAAAATAGACCGAAAGAGATGTAGTGTGGTGAAAAGCTGGCATTAGGAGATGCACAGTGCAGACACACATTGACCTGTGCCTAAACAGAGGAAGCTTGTCACAAATGAGCAGAGGACAGCGACGGCTGACAGCGTCTTCTCACTCATAGCCCACGTTGAAGCTGTCCCAGTCCCCTGCGTCCTCTGGTCCTTCCTGGTTGGGTGGAAACAGGAAATCGGGCTGGTAGTTCTCAGGGGGGCCGGCAAATGCATTTGGCCCCTTCTTGAGTTTGACACTGTTAAATAGAGGAATACATTATTATTCGGCCAATAAGATGAGGAAATCTTTTCAAGAGGGCAGCAGCATGAGATACTCACTGGTTCTTGTGTTTGGAACCGCTGATGTGGGCTTGGTACTGCTCCACGGAGTTCAGCTCAATGTTGCACACAGTACATGGGTAGCCCTTCAGTGTGGAGGCTGATAAAAATTACATTCAATAATTTAGTAACATTTACTGGTTTGACAAAAACAACAAAGTGACCACAAATCTTCATTTTCAAGGTTAAAATGGAGTAAGTGTTACAAGTAAGTGTATCAACTAGGGCTAGGTTGACAATACTGATTAATTGATTTGAACAGATCTTCACTTTGATGAACCAACATTGATTCTTAAATCCCAAGATCAACCTTTAAGTCTGTTTTCTGAAGATGTGCAATAAATAAGCTTTTGCTACTTTTGGTATGAAAAAGTCTCAGCTTTCAAATATGTCAATATATGTCATTTTATCAGAAAATTCAAACAATAAATACAGTTTCAATGCTGTCTAATATTCGCATGACAGATCGCTGTAGCCACTTCAGCTCAAACACTTTTTGTACTTTAATAAACACAGACGCTAGTCCATATTATGTTTTAATTCACTCTACAGCCTACTTGTGATTTATTCACCCAAAATTTGCCAAATTCCATGGCATTCTGCATTATACTGTAAATTCCATATTTATGACTTGATTCTGTGATTCCATCTGCATTTTCCGCATTGCAGAAATCCCTACTGTATGCATAAATACACTGTATTTTAAATACAGCTGCAACCCGAATATAGAACTTAAACATAATTTGAGGCGCATATAAACATAGTTAAATTTAACAACAACAAAAAAAAGGTTAAATAATTTAAAATTAAAGTTTTTTTTTTTTTTTTTTTAAAGGCAAATAGAAATATTCCAGGTTAGTTGTAATTGACTGTAGTCGATTACCATAATTAATTTTGACGACTCTAAAAACAAAATACACTTACAAAGCATGTTCGCAATTGCAGCTGAACGTTCACAGAACTGTGAAGCATATACCTTTGTTAAAGCACTTGATTTGTTTAATAATTTGTATATGAATTA